CAAACGGCAATTCTAGCTGAGACGTCCCACCAAAATCGGCGCGAACGGGCTCGTGAGATCAGCCAGGGTGGCTCCCCCTTGGGGCTCCCAAATGATGCCCCTGGCAGCGTTTTGTGATCATGAGAGAGTGCGAGTGTGAGCTTAACTTATCTTATATTATCTTGAAATCTCTTCTTATCATATCTTGTGCTATCTTATCTTATCTTGTAGTATCTTATCTTGTCTTGTCTTATCTGGTGATTATCGTTGGGAGGAGGGAGGCGCGAGCGGGAGGAAGGAGTCCGCGCGTGGGAGGCGTCAGAGTAATAACGAGAACCCCAATCCTTAGGATATGGGGAACAAGAACCCCAATCCTTAGGATATGGGGGAATGCGACAAAAAAATATCCCCACCACTCGAAGGCGCACTTTTCCTGAGCGGCAGCGAGGCCCGCCTCTTGTTTGTCTCTCCTTCCGATGTTCTCTCGTTGTGTGTGTGTGTGTGTTTGTTTTTCTTTTCTTTCCGCTTTCGCAAGTTAGGCCGTAGCTCGGTTGTTACGACTTTCGGCGGCGTTCGGCACTTCCGATGCGCCCGCGATCAAAAAGTATCCCCACCAGCCCGTCCAGTAGAAGACCGCCAGGCGAGTTGCTTTGATCAGGGAGGTGTAGAAGGATGCAGTGCAACAGCCGCCTTGGGAACGTTTTCTCGGAGATGGAGTCATCTTGGGCTATGTTGGGGTCCTCGTGAAGCCTCTTGGTGCACTCTTGCGGCCCTGTTTGGGCTCTCTTGGAACCTTTTTGGGGCCCTCTTGGGGCTCGGTGGGGGCACCGTGCTTCACTACGGGAAGCACCCCCCTTTTGAAAGACTTGCGCCCCGCGGGCGTGGATATTCGAGCCCCGTCTTGGAGCAGGAGGTGCCGCGAGGAACGCGGTAGGACCAGAAAGAATGCGCAGGGCAGCGTCTGGCGTCCGGCATTTAGCGGGCCCCCTGGGCAACGGCTGGAGCCGTTTTTCCACCGTTTCCGACAGAGTTTCTCTGGAAAATGGAAGCGGTAGGCGAGTGGAACGGGCAAAAAACGGTTCCAGAATTGGGAACCGGAACCAGAACCGACAACAAAACGACGACGGAATTGGAAACAAAAATGGCGCCGGAACCGGCAACAAAATGGCAAACGCGGTAAAACAAACAGCCCTGGCAATTTCCATGTTTCAGCAGCGGCCGCTCTTCGTCCGTCATGTCACGCGTCCGGTAAAGTCTGTAGCGCCCCCGATGCTTGTGCCCGTCCTGCACATTTGCTGCATTTCGGGTGGCAGCGTTTGAGGGAGTCGTGGCGCGAGAGCTCCAGTTTGTAAAGGCGCCGCCATCAGTCCTTCAAAGTATTGCCAGCTGAATAAAGCTCGGTTCGCTCATCTGGACGAGATTTCAAGCGAGAGCTCCCATTCTGCGAAGGGGCCGGCCTCCATCCGTGCGACATGCGGAAGCATTGACGGCGAATCTGTGCACGCGGCTTCAAGTTGAGAGCCCCAGTTCGACAGGGATCTGCGTTCCATAGGTGTGACCGTTGGAGGCCTTTACGGCGAGTGGGCCTCATTTGAGAAGGACTCGCCCCCCATCCGTGTCATCGTTGGGTGTTTCTGCTTCGGGCTCAGAGGTGGTGAGGAAGTCTCGGCCGACCCGCCCAGACCGCCGGGCCGACACGTCGAGTCTTGCGCCGACGGCAGCGGGGAGTCATCTGTATGGAAGGGGATGGAGGACGATACGGGAGAGGATGGAGGTGGAGGCGGGGCAAGGGAGGAGGAGGCAGGTTGGGGAGCAGCAGTGTGAGCATGAGGGGGGGACTGGGAAGGGGAGTGGAGAGGAAGCAGGGGGCGTAGCGCCACCCAGAGGTTGACGAGGAGACGGGGAAGCCGCTACCGTGGTCCTTCGACACGGTGCCGGGAGCCGCTTGGTGGGTGTCCGGGCGACTGTGCAATCGAAGGCGCCTCCAGGCAAGTCCGTTTGCCCCCTACCCCCCCAAGAGCAGGGCGGGTAGAGAGGAGGAGCCTCTGGCTCCCAGGAGGGGGCTGGAGGAGGGAGAGTGTGGAGGAGGAGAAGGAGGAGGAGGAGCAGGAGCAGGAGGGGGAGGAGGAGGATGAGAAGGAGGAGGAGGAGGAGGACGAGGAGGAGGAGGAGGAGGAAAGGGAGGAGGGAGGGAGGAGGGAGGGAGGAGGACCGGGAGGACGGAGGAGTGAGGAGGGAGGGAGGAGGGAGGAAAAGGAAGAGGAGGAGGAGGAGGAAAAGGAAAAGGAGGAAAGAGGAAAGAGGAGGGAGCAGGAGGAAGAAGGAGAAGGGAGGAGGAGGAGGAGCATGGAGGATGGGCGGCCCCTGCTGTCTAAGACAAAAAAAAAACAGCAAAGACGTAAATTGTCGCGCCCCCACCCCCCGCGCGATTCGCGCGCCAGAGACGGGGGGTGTCCAGCGCCGATCCGAGACAAATCCACCTTCCCCTCCCCCTCCCCCCTTGTGCGCGCCGCCAGGGAGCAACGAGGTGCGCGAGCGCAACGATGGAATGGGCAGATGCCGTTCTCAACTCAGGGGCCGGGCAGGGTGGCGCAATGGAACCATTTTCGCCACCCGTCCGCCCGAACCCCTTGGGGGAGAAAGAATGAGAGGAGCGGGGCGGCGCCCGGGTCAAGAGAGCTGCGACCAGAGGAGCGAGGATGGAGGATGCCGGGGGCCCGGCTCGAGGCCGCCCGCGCCCCGCCTCGCCATCTCCGCGTCCAGCCGCCGAGCAGGGTCGCGCCCACCCAGGGCGCGCTCTTGCCGAGGCCCCGGCACCAGCAGCACACCGAAGAATGAGGAGGAGGAGGAGGAGGAGGAGAAGAAGAAGAAGGAGGAGGAGGACCTGGATGAAGAAAAGGAGGATGGGCGGGAAGATTTGGAGAAGTGGAGGAGGAGGAGGAGCGGCAGTAGGAGGCGGAGCAGGAGGAGGCGCCCTTGCCGTCGCTGCGGGAACGACCAGCAGCACGTCGAATAAAGGGCATGAGGACGCCGAGGAAACGCAGACACGGGCAGAGGCGCAGGATCGGCGCGCGTCCTGGGTTCGTCCAAAAGGGGAGTCTGTATTACACGCCAGTCGTTGGAAGTAGATATCTTGGGATTCCCAGATCCCACAATCTACTTCAAGCGCCTTTCCATTTCAAGAATCAACATGTGATTGCTTCCATTTCAAGAATCAACGTGTGATTGCTGTTTGTTGCTATTATTTGGACGGGCCCGAACCCTGTCTACTTTATCCGCCTTCCTACATGTTTCCACGTACTTCCTCCGACTGGCGGGTAGGGGTGTGTGGATATCAGTGATGTCTTCATCGATTGCATGGCCCCCCCTTCTTATTCAAGCACACCCTCTGCCACCCCCTTCGTCCGCTCACGTGCCTCAGGGAGGCGCAAACTTGGATGGGGATGTGTGGATCAGCGACGGGTCCGCTCTGCCGCCAAATCAGACGGCAATTGCTTCTTCATGTTTCGGGAAGGTACTTCCCCCGATCCGTGGATCTGTCGCCCACGCGCCAGGTCCACGGATCCGTAATCCATGTTAGCGTGCGCCCAAGAGGAGGGGGACCCATATCCTCTCGCGTCGTGCGAGGTTCACGACGGCAGATTTTTGCTGTCGATGTCCAGCCTCTGGGGTCCCCTTTTGTACCAAGCCCTCGGGCCGTCAGAGAACGACTCGCCGGATGAGAAGCCGGGCCTCGGGAAGGGGTCGAGGCCTCTGGGAGCCCACGCTGCGGAAGAATTTACGACTCCGGGAGACTGAGGATCAGCATAGGGACGCCCGGCGTCAGCTGGGGCAGCGGACATGCACTACAACATCCCCGAGAAGGGCGAATTTCCGTGGTCGAAGTGGGGCGCCCCCGTGGTTTTGTTGATAGGCCCGATCTGGGGGGATGAGGATGGTGATGACGACGATGGAGAAGGTGATTGATGCGATCATGATAAAAATGGTGGCGATGATGCTGGACCCCTGCGCTGGTGACGATGACGTTGACGATGACGACGAAGATGACGATAACGATGACGACGATGACGACGATGATGATGACGATGATGATGATGAGAATGATGATGATTATGATACTCGTGATGATGATGATGCTGCTGATGATGACGATGACGATGAGGATGAGGATGAGGATGATGATGCTGATGCTGATGATGTTGGTGATGGTGATGGTGATGGTGGTGGTGGTGATGATGATGAGTAGGACGACAATGATGACAATGACGGCGACGATGATTATGCTGTTGCTGCCGATTATGATGATGAAACGAATGCTGATGATTATAATAATTATGATGCTGATGCTCGTGCACCTTATGATGATGACGATGTCGATGATCATGATGATAATGATAGCGTTGTGGTGATGATGGTGATGGTGCTGATGACAATGATGCTGATGATGAGAATGAGGGATTGGATACTTCTGAGGGTGATGATGATGTCGATGCTGCTGCTGATGATGCTGATGATGAAGATGATGAAGATGAACACGCTTGCGGTGATGATGATGCTGATGAGGACGATGATGATGACGATGAGGATGTTGATGATGATCATGATGACGATGACGATGCCGATGATGATGATGCAGAATATGATGATGATGCTGATGATGATGATACTACTGCTGCTGCTGCTGCTGCTGAGGATCCTGATGAAGATGATTATGATGATTATGATGATAGTGATGATGATACTGATGTCGACGACGATGATGTCGATAACGATGGCGATGAGGATGATGAGGATGTTGGCCATGATAATGATGGGGTGCTGATGCTGATTGCGATGACGCTTATGATGACAATGTAAATGATGATGATGATGGTGCTGTTGACGACGATGACGTTGATGATGATGATGGTGATGATGATTGATGCTGCTGGTGATGATGATGAACATGCTGATGACGATGAGTCTTATGATGATGCTGATGCTGATGATGAGTATGATGCTGCTGATGATGCTAATGCTGGTGCTGATGATGATGCTGGTGATGCTGACGATGAGAATGCTGCTTATGATGATGATGATAATGATGATGATGATAATGATGATGATGATGATGATACTGATGATGCTGATGATGATGATAATGGTGACGATGCTGCTGATGCTGATTGATGATGCTGATGGTGATGATGATGATGATGATGATGATGATGATGATAATGATGATGCTGATGATGATGATGATGATGATGATGATGGTGACGATGCTGCTGATGCTGATTGATGATGCTGATGCTGATGGTGATGATGATGATGATGATGATGATGATGATGATGATGATGGTGATGATGATGATGATGATGATGATGATGATGATGATGATGATGATGATAGGAGTGCGTGCACAGGCAATGGGAGAGAGAGCAGCTTGTCGCCTTCCACGCTTATTCAGTTCGCTCATTGCTTTGCTCTGCAGTCTTTTTGGCTCACAGGATTGAGCCTGCGACCATCGGCCTGGGTCTGATGGCCGGAGGGCCCCTCCAGAAGCTTCTGCTGTTGGCGGGCCACGATGCGCTGATTCACTGGCTCCTGCGCCCCGCGACGTCGGAGGAGCCCGCGCGCCGTGCCTGTGAGTGCGTGTGCCCCGCGGCGATCGAGCTTTGTGCCCGCGGCCCGAGGCGGAGAGAGCGCCTGGCGTCTCGCCCTGGCGTTCGGTGCTGCAGACCTTCGGCGCGGGGGGGGCAGGACAGCTCGGTGGGGCGCGGTCTCTGGGAGTGTGGTCGGCGGGCCCGCTCCTGCTGCGGTCGCTTCCGGCGCAGTGGCGATCGCGCCGCTCGCCGCCGTGGGCTCGGAGTTCTGGAGTATCCTGATGCCGGGGTCTCGAATGCTGGCTCAGTGTGCCGAGGACGCCGTCGGGCACGAGAGGCGGGCATCCTGGCCGATGGTGGGCCTCACTCGGAGCTCCAGACTCCCGACGAGGTCGTCTACCCGGAGTGCTTGGACGGGTCGGACCCCCAGGGCCTCGAGCGGGCGAACCTTCCGCTGGTGGACGGGAGGTTTCCTCGTCTGGGGGCTCAGGCGTATCGGTTCCCGCATCCCCTGACCGAGGGCGAGCTGAAGGCCGTGGCCCAAGAGGGCGCCGCAGAAGCCGAAGAGATCACGCGGGCGGCTGGTCTGGAGCTGCAGCGGTCCAAGCGGGAGATGGAGCGCTTCGGCGAGGTCGAGGGGCTGGGCGAGTTCTTGGGCGGGAGCGTACTTCCACGCCGCCTCGCTCGCCGCCCCGCGGCCTCGGGCTGGGCTGCCATGGGCGACGAGGCTCCCGCGGTGCCCCCTCCGCGCGGGCCTGGGCCGCCTGTCGACGGGCATGTGAGGGGGCTGGCCGAGCCGTCCGAGATTGGGGGGGTGGGCTCCGTCGTGGCGCTCGAGGCGCGGGACGTGCGGGCGGTCAAGTACGATGCTCTGGTGGACCGCGACGGATATCATCGGATGACCAGCATTCGGTCGGACCTCGTCCTGCAGTTTGTGGGCGACGGGCGCGGCACGGTGGACGCAGAGCTGCCGGTGGCTGGCCTGAACCAGCGGGGGGCGGGCCGCGCGATGACCATCCTGGGGGAGGGCGCTGCTGAGCCTGAGGCGCCAGCCTCCTCCGTCGGCGACGCCGAGGCTCGGAAGCTCCGGCTGGACTACGACGAGCAAGATGACGGGCACAGGGGCTTCCGCAGGTGCTGCCACGAGTTTCACGGCGTGGTCGGCCCCGATTTCCCGCCGCAGGGGTTCGCGACCATGCTCATGGCGATGCGCCACATGGAGCGGCACGGGGGGGGCCCGCGCTTGTGGGTTTCCACTTGGGCAGGAGAGAGGCGCATCGAGGGCTCCGATCACGTGACGCACGAGATGCGGTGTCTCGTGGACATCCTCTTCCGAGGGGCCACCTGCCACCAGATCAGCCTGCCAGCGTTGGAGGGGGTGGAGGTGGCCTTCCGTCGGACTCAGACGATCATCGGCGCTTGCGAGGTGACGGACAAGGCGCCGATCTGGCAGCCCGCGCGCTACTTCTGGGGAGCTACGGCAGCGGTCGACGCCCTCTCGCCTGAGATGCGCCAGTACGCGACCGGGGGGGCGGAGGAGGACGCGGATCGCTGCAGACGCTCAGCGGGCTCGCATGCTTCAACCGAGTCCCGGCGAGGAGGAGGCTCCGGAGGGGGGCGCAGCAGGGGGGCCCCGGGGGAGGGGCGGCCGAGGCCGCGGCGGTGGCGCAGAGGGCCGCGGCCGCGGCGGTGGCGCCCCCCCTGGGGCCCAATGACCGCCCGCGAGCGCGGCGGGGGGAATGGGCCCCCCCTCCCGCCGAGACGTTTCGGCCCACGTCGGCTGCCCTGCCGCCGGGGCGGGGCTCGCGCCTGCTCTTCCCGATCCCCTTGGTGGCGGAGGGCGTCGTCTGCGCGACCTGGTCGACCAGCAGGGGCGCCCTTTTCTGGAGTGTTGTGGAGAGCGTATGCTACGTGACATCAGCGAGTTTGTGGACTTGCGGCGGCGGGAACCCGTCCGGCCGTACTCTGATCCTCGCCTTGGTCGATCGCGTCGTCAGCACCTCCGGTTCATCCGACGCCTACATGGCATGGGGGTGCTCCGGTACACCACGCGACCCATCGACTTCATCGGGTCTTTCTTTGTCTGGAAGAAGGGTAAGACCAAGCAGAGACTAATTTTGGACGGTCGGGCAGCCAACCAACGCTTCGCCCAGCCACCTCACGTCGACTTCCTGACCGCGGAGGGCCGGGCCTCCATCGAGGTCTTCGTGGACGAGGACCCCGAGCTGACCAGCGACCTCGGCCGCGGTGCTCTTCGCGCACTTCGCATTGCCCTCGGCGTCGCCGATGTGGAGAACTGTTTCCACCGCGTGATCATGCCTCCGTGGATGAGTCGCATGTTCTGCTACGAGCCCGTGCTCGCCGCGGAGGTTGATCCCGCTGGGCTGCCCCTGGTCGAGGGCGACGTGGCCTCAGGGAGCGCCCGAGCGTGGCCCGCCGCGCGCCCTTTGCCGATGGGCTTTGCTTGGAGCCTCTACTTCTGCCAGAACGCCAACACCGGACCCTCGGGCAGCGCGCCGCTCCTTCACCACGCCCGCCTGCTGTCGGATCGCGGGGAGTCCGCCTTGTTCGAGACAGGCGCCCCCGGTACGGACCTCTGGCGGTGCGTCTACGTGGACAACCTCGGGGTCTTGGGCAGGGGCGCCGACGCGGCGGGCGCCGCGCTCTCTGAGCAGGTTCGGGTCTTTGGCGAGAACGGGTTGGACATCCACGAAGTCGAACTCTTCACCGAGAAGGGCTCCGCGCTGGGGGTTGACCTCGATGGCTCGCGGCTTGCTACCCTTCTCACGTCGAGGCGCCGGTGCAGGATCGAGAGGGGGCTGCTCTACCTCCTCCAACGTGGGCGAGCCAGCGGGCAGATGGTGGAGAGCATCCTCGGGCACTGCACCTATGCCGCCCTGATCAAGAGAGAGAGAGAGAGACCATGGCTGTTTTCGCGGCTTCGTACGCTTTCGTGCACGCCACTTACACGAAGGACATCCAGCTTTGGGACTCGGCCAAGGCGGAGTTCGGTGCTTTCTTGGGACTGTTGGTGTTTATGCAGAGCGATTTGTGGCTGCCGTGGAACAGGGGCGTCACTGCGTCCGACGCGTCCCCCGAGGGCTTCGGCATCGTGAGCTCGCGCTGGTCGCCCCGTGATGTGGCGAGTGTCGGGCGAGTCCGAGAGCGAGGTCGTTTTCGCCGCGGGGGGCCGATCGCCCCCCGGGACTCCGCCATGACAGCCGCCGGGTTCGTGCTCGAGGACGGCGTCTGGCGGCCGCGCGCGGAGGAGGAGCTGGAGGAGGGCTGGTCCATCGTGGAGGGCTTCCCCGAGGTGCCGGCTCGCCTCCTCCATCCTGAGGGCTGGCGAGTGTGCCGTGCCGGCACGTGGGGGCGCCAGGGGCACATCACTTTGCTGGAGGCGCGCGCGCTCCTGGCCTCCGCGCGGCGGCTTGCTCAGGTCGCCGTCGGCGGCAACCGCAGGCACCTCCACCTCTGCGACAACATGGGCGTCGTGCTGGCTGTGAGTCGGTGCCGCTGCCGGGACTTCATGCTGCTGACCGTCCTGCGCAAGCTCACTGGATTCCTGCTGGCTCGCAATATTAAGCTTCGCGTGAGGTGGGTTCCCAGCGAGCTCAACTTCGGTGACGAGCCGCCCCGTGCCTGTTCAGAGAAAGCATCGTCGTCTCTCGCTTGGGCCATTCCCGACTTCGTGCGACGGGCGCGGCCGCCCCGGGCCCAAGCTGATGAGTGCCGGACGGAAGCGCCGGCGAACCCTTACCGCGCTGGCGCCGCCATGCGTGGGCGACCGGATCGCGGGGCCGGCGTCTGGGAGGAGGACGAGGACGGCGGCAGCGGCAAGGCCGCGGCTGCAGGGCCGCGCCGTCGCGGAGAGAGGACCTCGGGGGACGAGGCGGCTCTCGCCGCGCGTGCCGCTGGAGGAGCTGCCGCTACCGGGCCCGCCCCGTCGCCAGACCCTCGAGGAGTGGGCCGACCAGGTCGTGCGCAGGGGGAAAGGCGACTACGTCGAGAAGCGCGTCACTCAGAGGCAGCGCACCTCGAGCTCCTCCAGCACTGGGCCCGCGTCGGAGGGCCCCGGTCGGGCCGCTCGCCGAGAGGCGACGCTGGCCGCGCGCTCGGGGCGGCTGCTCTGGAGCTACCGCGAGAAGAAGTCCAGGGCCAAGGGCGACGGGATCACTCCGCTCGAGAAGCGGGTTGTCTCGGACAGGGTCCATCCCGAGTACAACCTCGAGGTGGAGGTTTTCAAGACCTTCGCAGCCGTGCGGGGCCTGAACGTGGGGCACGTCGGGGCCGCCGCTGTGGACGCCGTTTTCGCGTCATACCTCGAGGCGCGCTTCTTCAAGGGCTTGCAGCCGTCCGCTGGGGCGAAGGCGCTGGCTGGCGGGATCCACCTCCACCCGGCCTACGGACACGAGGGCCCCCTGAAGCTGCGCCGCGCCTGAGGGGCGCTGCAGGGCCGGCGGGCGCTGCGCCCCGGGCGCCCGTTCGGGCCGAAGAGGTTGGGCGCGTGGAACGGGCTCGGGAGCGTCTCGTGCCACCTCAGCCGCCGTCGGACGACTGTGTTCGTGGTCTTGACCGTTTCGGCGATCGGCGCGCCCGACCTCTTGCCTTAGACGCGGCACAGCGGGCCAAGCGTGGACAGAGCGTGAGGCTCGCGCCCCCTATTAGAGGTGAGCGCGAGCCGATCGTGGTCGAACGAGAGTGTGGCTCGTTGCCAGAAGCACGTGAAGCTGTCCGACTCGTCTCACCGCCGCTCGACCGTGTTTCAGGCGTACTTTCGAGAGTGCAAGCTTCGCGGCGTGGAGATCGCCCTCCACGCGCAGCTGGCGCCTCTCCCATGTCCGGAGCGCAGCTGATGCAGGACACTTACGTTGCAGACACCTTTGCTGGCCAGGGCGGAGTCGCCAGAGCATTGCGACGACTTGGCTTCCAGGCGCGGACCTGGGAGATCGCGCACGGAGAGCACGGCGACCTCACCTCCGCCCGCGTTCTAAGGACGCCCCTGTCAGACGTTCGACGCGGTCGGTGTCTCGGGGCGATGATTGCGCCTCCATGCAGCAGTTTTAGTATTGCACGCATTCGCACGGCACCCATCCGATCCTCGTCGCGGCCGTGGGGGTTTTCAAGGGGGGAGGTCAGTTTGAAGGACTGGGCGAAACTCAAGGAGGGTAACAAGCGTTGTAGAGCTTCCCTTGCTATAATTCGCGAGTGTAACGCCGGTGGCGCCCCGTGGATTCTGGAGAACCCTTGCGCTAGCTATATGTTTAAAACCCAAGAGTTCCAGCGCCTGGCCTCCTCCCCCTCGGTGGCGTCTCTGAGGATATATTTCTGTCAGTTTGGCACTCCCTGGAAAAAGCCCACCACTTTGTTGTGCGGAAACATCCCCGTCCAGGATCTCGAGGGGCTTTCGCGGCAATGCCAGGGCACCAGGGGCGTTTATAGCCGAACGGGTTGCAAGCGTGTTATTATGTCAGGCCCGGCTCCGAGTGGCCAACGGTGGACGCATGCGGCTCAGTCCTATCCACAGCAGCTTAATCGTGCGCTAGCCCGTGCCCTTGTTGCCCCGCTGCGAGCCAGATTCTTTCAAGCCTGAGTCACATCCACTGCTGTGATGGGTTGGGGCACGTTTCGAGCGGAGGCTTCGCTGTGCCTCATTTTGTGCGCTCGGCCTCTCGCTCGCAGTCTCGTCGCGATGACTATGCATTGTTCTCGAAGACAGATTTCCGCAGGCGCCTCGCCAGGAAAATTGAACAGGCTCCTCAGGGCGCTGTGGTTGTGTATCTCGCCAGGCTCGCAGCCCCATAGGAGTGCGTGCACGGGCATGGGGAGAGAGAGCAGCTTGTCGCCTTCCACGCTTATTCAGTTCGCTCATTGCTTTGCTCTGCAGTCTTTTTGGCTCCCACCCGCGCCACCCTTTTCATTGTCTTATGTAGCAGGGACACATTTCGAGCGGAGGCTTCGCTGTGCCTCATTTTGTGTGCTCGGCCTCTCGCTCCCAGTCTCATCGCGATGACTATGCATTGTTCTCGAAGACAGATTTCCGCAGGCGCCTCGCCAGGAAAATTGAACCGGCTCCTCAGGGCTCTGTGGTTGTGTATCTCGCCAGGCTCGCAGCCCCATGATGACGATGATGCTGATGATGATGATGATGATGGCGATGGCGATAGCGATGGCGATGGCGATGGTAATGACGATGATTTATACGATTGCGATGATGATGGCTATCACGATGACGACGACTACGGTAGTGGTGGTGATGTTTGAGAGGAGACGGGAGGGGGGATGGCGGAGGAGGCAGAGGACCCAGGATCGACCCAGGATTATTTGAGTAGTCCAGGGGGGGACAGCGGGAGAAGGAAACAAACTATACGCGAGAGGATACAGGAAACGCGTGGATTAGCGACTGGTCCCGCTTCCACGCAGTAATCGACGTGTGCTGGACTCGCCTGCTCCAGTATGCCAGATCCGCGGATATCTTATCCATGCTTGCGCGTGCTGAAAAGGAGGAAGAGGAGGAAGAGGAGGAGGAGGAGGAGGAGGAGGAGGAGGAGGAGGAGGAGGAGGAGGAGGATTGGGCGTTCCGTAATGGGGAAGACGATGGATGGGGGAGGGATCGCGGTTGCAAGAAAAGGGGCCCGTTGTGGCCCCGAAGGTGGCGCAAACGGTGCACCTTTCTTCACCCCCAAGTTTAGTGGGCGGCGACGGCATCCGTGAGCCAAGGCCTGATCAAGAGCCCGGGGCTGCTGGCCGCGGTCGGCAAGCTGAAGTCCGCGTTCACCGAGGCCCAGGCCCGCGCTGCGAGAAACCGGCGCTGCGGCGCTCTGCTGCTGCCGTTGCTTTCCCCGTCCTCCCGCTGCAGTCAAAACCTCGATGTATACGTGACGTCGCTTGGTCGGCCAAGGAACCAACGAACTCGGCGAAAGATTTCGGTGTAGATTTCGGGCACCTTTCACTGGGCGATCGACATGCGGGGACCTGGGCGGGCGATGGATGTGAACGTGTTCAGGCCCTGGGGTCCTAGGGGAGGGGGCAGATGTGTCCATATTCACCCTCTGGGAGCTTCTTGGACCGTCTTGGAGGCCTCTTGGGCTGTCTGGGGGCTCTCTTGTGTCGATCCCTGGCCATCTTGGAGTCTTCTGGGACGATTTTGGGGCGATCGTGGAGGCCTCTTGAGTCGCCTTGGAGTGTCGGGAAGCCGAGACGGCGACGGCAGATAGGCCCGCCCCCTCGGAGGGAGGCTGAGCAGGGGAGGGGCGCTCCTCGGCCGGCCAGGCGGAGCAGGACACGCTGGACCGCCTGACGAAGGCCAGGCAGGGGCATGAAGCGGCTGGGGCATCACGTGCTGCTAGGCGTCGACGACGTCGTCCGCCGTCCGTCGGCTATTTGTGTGGGCGCGAGAAACACCCGTTTGCGAATTCCCAGAACACCATCTATTGTAGGCGCCGTCCTATTTCAATCAACGAGTGCATTTTCTTTCGTCTTCTTCTTCAGGGGGCGGGCGGAAGCCCAATCTGCTTCCAACGCCTTTCTACTTAATGCTTCTACTCACTTCTTCCGACCGACGGGTATCCGTATCCGCGGCCTCGCGGGCCGGGCCCTTGGGCCGCGACCTTGCGGTTACGGGGCGTGTATTCGCGGATGCTCCGCGCGGAACGTTGTCGTGCGACCGCGTAGCCGTGGGATCGCGCCCCAGAATTTGCAGACCGCGATGGCGCGGATACGCATGTGTTCGCCGCTCGTGGTATTTGGTCTTCCTCCTCCTCGTCCTGTTGCCTGTTGCCTGTTGGCTGGAGTGTCGTACCGACGAAGCTATTTCCCCCCAGGTCCCGTCTGCTTTGGGGGGGTGATCAAATTAGGTAGCCAAGGTGGCGCTATGCCAGTGGCTGAGTAGAAGATCATGTAAACCCCTCCTCCTCCTCCTTGCCTCTCCGCCCGCAACAGACACGATGCAAGCCTGGTTGGTTTTAGCGTTTTTATGTTACGAATGAGGTCGCGACATATTTGTTCGTAATTCGGCACACAAGGCATCTATGTGTGTTTCACTAAAAACAATTATTCTTCCATTCGACCCAAATGAAATCTTCCGGTATCCCACCACTCTTTTGCGGCAGAGTATAGAATGATTCCTTATGTTGCCGGAGACGAAAAAAAGGTTACCTTTGTGTTAGATCACTAATAGAGTCCCTTCTGAAGCGGAATGGGGAAATATTCCATGTGTGGCCGCATACAAGAGATTTCCATGTTTTTGTGGCGGAGTACAGCATGATTCTTTCAACGGCGGAATAGAACGAATGATTTCTTCTTGTGAGCGAAAAGCAACCCAAAACAACAACTCTACTTATGAATTCTGGCGAACTTCCTTGAGCAATCGCCACAATTCTGCCGAAATCATGGTTTCTTTGTTTATGTTGCTTTTTTGTGTTTGCCAGCGCTTTCCCCTCACAAATGGAATCCTTGTGCATTCAGCCACCAGCTGAATCCTTTTGTATTCTGCCCCAAAGAGAACCCTTTTTACACCCCGCTACAAGAAGAAGGCCTTTGTGCTCGGCCACGAACGGATTCCTTGTGCATTCTGCCACAAGGAATCCCGAGGTAATCAACCACAGAAGGACTCGTTCTGTATTCTGCCACAACAGGACCCCTTCAGTAATCCACAACAAAAGGATTCCCTCAGTATTCCGCCACATGAAGGAACCCCATAGACATCAACCACATAAGGGTCCTTTTGATATTTTGCCACACAGGGAATCACCAAACTGAACCTTGTACATGTTTGCCACAAAAGTAATGCTTTAGTATTCTGCCACAGGGAGAGTTCTTTCGCATTCCGCCACAAGGCCAACCCTTATGTATTCGGCCACAAAAAATCCCGACACCCTTTGTAAACCACCAAAGAAAAAAACACATTTTTAAGTATTCTGGGTCGCAAGGATTGTTTTCATAGTCTGCCACTATCGCAATAGTCCTGGCATTCTGCCACAACGGCAACCCTCTTGTATTCGGCCACAGCAGAATCCCTTTGCATTTCAGACATAAGGACTCTTTGCGTACATTCTCCTACAAAAAGGAACCCTTCTTAGTAATCCACCACAAGTAGAATTCCGTCGTACTCCGCCGCAAACGGATTTTTTGTGTATTCTGCCACAGGAGGGAATTCTTTTGTATTCCGCCACAAGGGACACTTTGTGTGTATTCAACCAGAAACGGATTCCTTGTGTAGTCCACCACACATGGAATCCTTGTGTACTCCATCACATAAGGATTTTGTTAGTATTTCGCCACAAGAGGAATACTTTTGCAGTCTGCCACGAAGGGAATCCTTTTGTATCCCGCCACATCGGGAATCCTGTTGCATTCCGCCGCAAAGGAGTTCTTTGTAATCCGAACTCGATGCCACGCCATCGAAGGAACTGACGCATTACAAAGGGATTCTTCTTTGTGGTGGAACACAGAAGGATTTATGTGAGTGGAATGGAAAATTTACTTTGCGAGTCTCAAGCACATAGATACCCTGCGTTGCGGATTACAACAAGATGTCGACCGTTGCTTCGTTGGAAAAATCACTCAAATCGGCCAGGCTTGTATCGTGCCTGGCGCCCCTCCTCCTCCTCCTCCTCCTCCTCCTCCCCCTCCCCCTGCTGCTCCTCCTTTTTCTCCTCCTCCTCAAGTGGCCTGCCAGGAAGAGCCTCCCCCGGGGAGAGCTCGGGCGACGCCGCAGAGCACGCGGTGCTGGCGCGCGCGGGCCTTCAAGGGGATTTCCAAAGCCAAAGGTTTTTGGTCATCGGGAGGAACTTCCCCCCTCTTCTCCCTTCACCGGATAACCCTTCCCCCCCTCACCGGATAATTTGGGTTAACGCCGAAGAAAAGAATACCAGGAATACTAGTCCCTTGCAAGTGAGGACATTGGCAGTACCGGCGGGGGAAGACGGAGAGCCGCAAGTGCTTATCTCCGCGGCGGCAGCTTTCTCGATCGTTTATGCCAGTCTCCGCTCACGGGACCTTGAGGCATGATGGACGCCGAGAGGAGGAGATCTAGCCCGGGCGAGACATCGATCCCGAATCAGACGCTCATCGCCGACCGGAACGTGCTGCCTCGCTGCCGGGGGCCCGCGGCCGATCGGTCGGAAGAATGTCCCACCGATCTCGGACCGATGTTGATGGGCTTGTGTTCCACCACCACCAGCACTTGAAGTTGGAGGGGGAGGGGGTCCTCCTCCTCCTCCTCCTCTTCCTCCTCCTCCACCTCCTCCTCCTCCTCCTCCTCCTCCTCCCCCTCCTCCTCCTCCCCCTCCAACTTATGGTGGTGGTGGTGAAACACAGGCCCATCAGATGTCCACCCCCTCCCACCGAACCAGCTTCCTCGGCTCCCTCCCTGGAGGCGGCGAGGACGAGAGCTGATAGCCCAGAGGCCAGGCATCGGAGGTGTGCGCCGCGGGCCGCCCCTGGCCCCTGTCACGCAGAGGCCACCGAACGATGCGGTGACCACGCAGACGGGGGGGCAGGGGGAGGGGGAAAGGCCTCTCAGAAGCATCCCCGCTGCTCAGATGAGGCACGGGCCTTCTCTCTCAATGCAGGGTGCAGGGCCAGCGCCTTCTAAGAACAGCCTCCTCCTAAGAAGCCTTCCCTCCCTCTGTCCCCCTTCTTGTGCGCGCCGCCAACTTCGAGGTGACCGCACGGCTTCGGGAAGCGGGTCCTTCGCGTGAGACTGGGGCCGCCAGGGGTCCCGAAGCCGTGCGGCGACGGCGCGTGCGGTAAACTTTCGGCAGGCGCCAGTGGCCTGGCGCGCCGCGGCGTACCGAGCCCCGCCGGCGCCGCCCACCTCGGAGAGGGAGAACCCCGGCTGGCGCTCTCGGCGGCGAGAGGTTTCGGATTCTTCCCCTCGGGTGTTGCTGGAAGTGCTCCTGGCCCAAGCTACCCCCAGCTTTTCGCTTCATTTTGGGCCCCCTGGGGCTCTCTGGGCCTCGTGAGGGGTGCTCCGGAGGCCGTCTGGGCCACGGGGCACTTCTAGCAACACCCGATCCCCCGCGGTCGCGGCGGCTACGGAGCTGCAGCGTTTCAGTTTTCCTGCTTGCTCGGATTGGCGTGGTGCCGAGAAGCGTTATTCTGGCGATCCTGGGCCGCTCAGGCATCTCTTGTTCTTGGCTCCTGAGGTTTTTGTGTATGAGTCTTGGACTCGCTTCAGACATGTACTCTTTCCACCACATATGAGGGAAAGCATGGAGGCCTCGTGTGGCGCGCAATGGTTGTATTATCTAATCCGGACGTCTGCCCCGTAAGATATTTGGACGACGTTCGTGCGGCGATGCTCTGGCGTAAATCGGACGCAATCCGACCTGAACCCGACATACATCCTACGTGGATCCAACGTGCATTGAGTCTCGAGTTGCCGCGCGAAACCTCCAGGGTTTATTCATATCACCACGCCTGGCCCAGCCCATCCTGAGCCCATGTGGGAGTGAACTATATTCAGGAGGGGGAAAACACAGGCACTATGAATTGTCGATCCCCAGGAAAAAGATGGGAAACTATGGGAAGTGGGTGGGAAGACGAAATTCCAGAAAATATGGAACATTTAGGGAATCCTTGGATTTGTGTGTATTTATTTGTGCTTCCCTGGGCCCCTTCACATGAGGCCCCTGCCTTCGAGGATCGAAGGAGTCGGCATCTCTTCCTCGGCGGAAGGCCGGCGGAAGTAAGATGCGGGAGGTGCCGCCATGCGCCCCAGGAGATGACAGCACCTTTGGGTTCAGGGCCACGTGGACGGCAAGCCGCCGATGGTTGAAGGTCGAAGGGCCCGCGCGGTTTCAGAAAGCAGAGCCTGGGTCGTCGCAAGCAAGACGAGCCTGCCGCTTTCTCTCTCCTTCTTCGCTGCTGGAGCGGCGGGTGCCGTGGCCCACGCCCTCAGGAGGACGCCCAGGAGCTGTCGGAACCGCTGGGCACTGAGTGGGTCCAGAGCCCGCTGGCGCCCTCCGCGGAGGTTGAGGTCCTCGACGAGGACTTCTGTCGGCAGGGGGGGCTCGGGGTTCAGTCGGGCCTGTCCCTCTACAGGAGGAGGATTCAAAAAATAATAGTCTGGGGACGTTATTATTATTATTATTAGTAGCAGTAGTATGATTATGATTGCTATTACTTTTACTATTACTATTATTATCATTATTATTATGATTACCAGTATTAGTATTAGTATTCGCATTCGTATTCGTATTCGTATTCGTATAATTATTATTAGTATTCGTATTGTTAGTGATATTGTTGTTACTATTACTATTATTATTACTTTTACTATTAATATTATTACGATTACTATTATTATTACGATTAACATCACTAGTAGTATTATTTGGAGTATCATTTTTATTAGCATTATCATTATTATTATCAGTAGTTTATTATTCGTATTATTAGTATGACTAGCATTATTATTATTTGTATTATTAGTATGTTCATCATTATTATTATTATTATTATATTATTATCATATTATTATTACTATTGTCATTATTATTATTATTATTAGTATTATTATTGTTCTTCTTCTTCTTATTATTATTATGATTAGGACTACTGTTATTATACGTTTTGAACATACATGTTTCGAATATGTTTGGATTTTTATTTTTCGCCCAAAATCCGCCTGTAGGGGGACATGCCCGACCTGAGCTCAGGGTCAGCGTCAGAGGTTTTCCAGCCTCGGGATGCTATCTGGCAGCTGCGCCTCGCCGAGAGCGCTCCAGGGGTGCCCGAATCGTTCCGAACGACTGCCGGGGAGCCGAGGCAACCTCAGGGGACGACCGGCTCAGGGGGGCTGCATCGACCCTCGCCGGCAGGGGTCCGATGGCCCGTCCCGCTCAGGAGTGTGCGGGTTCGATATCGGGCGCATGTTGCCGAGCCATCGGCGAAGTATTGCTGATTCCAGCTCGATGGTTCTCACCCTGAGCTGGTGCCCATCCTAACGTTCCCCCTCATGTTTGGCGGCCGCGCCCGCGACCTCCTAGACAGCTCGTTGCTTTGATCGTCGTTCTCCTCCTCCTCCTCCTCCTCCTCCTCCTCCTCCTCGTTGCCCCTGCTCCTCCTCATTGCCCCTCCCGCTCCTCCTCCTCCTCCTCCTTCTCCTCATTTGGCCGCTGCACCAGCGTAGGCTCGTGAGAGCCGCCGCGTCTCGGGCCCTCGGCGAGGACTTCTGTGGCGGCCGCGCCTCCCCGAGGGCGACCTCCCAGACGTCTTCGCGCTGTCCTCCGCTCTTGCCCCCCCCGGCGAGGACCTCGCTCTGCGGCCGCCCCTTCCCGAGGGTGATCTCCCAGACGGTTCCTCGTAGTCGTCGTCCTCCTCGCCTTTCCTCCTTTCCCTTCTCCTCCTCCTCTTACCCCATTCCTTTCATCTCTCCACTCACTCATCGGATGCTCTCTCTCATTGTCTTCTTGCGTCTCCAATCGCGGTCCTGTCCGTAACCCATATCGGCTCTGGCTCGCTAGTGGCGCAAGGCGCACATGTGCTCGATCCATTCACAGGGGCCTCGTTGCAGAGCCGAGCGAGCCCTGCACCTGTGAGTCCGCACGACGCTAAAGTATCAAACTCTGAGCCCCATCCTGTCTTTCAAAAGTCAGACTGTCATTCAGGGGTCGGGTTCACATGTGGTCGCCTACGGCTTGGCGGCGGCGCCGCTCTGAGGACGACTTCGACGGCTCGTCGTCGTCCTCTTCTTTCTCGTCCTCCCGCCCTCCTTGCACATCCTCCTCTTCATCTTTCTCCTTCGAACTCCGAGCTTCGAGCGGCGGATCAGTTTGTCGATGACGATTGGGGCCCCCGTCCTCGTCCTCCGCGCCCTTCCTCCTTTCCCTTTCTCTTCCTCCTCTTACCCCATCCGTCCATCTCTCCACTCACTCATCGGATGCTCTCTCTCATGGGCTTCTTGCGTCTCCAATTTTGGTCCTGTGCGTGACCCATCTCGGCTCTGGCTTGCTAGCGGTGCAAGGCGCACATGTGTTCAGTCCATTAACAAGGGCCCCGTTGCAGAGCCGAGCGAGCCCGGCACCTGTGAGTCCAAACGACGCTCAGGCATCAAATTCTGAGCCCCGTTTTGTCTTTCAACAGTCAGACTGTCATTCTGGGGTCGGTTTCACGTGTGGTCGCCTACGGCTTGGCGGCGGCGCCGCTCTGAGGACGACCTCCTCGACGGCTCGTCGTCGTCCTCTTCTTTCTCGTCCTCCCCCCCCCATCCTCGCACATCCTCCTCCTCATCTTCTTCCTTCGAACTCCGAACTTCGAACGGCGGATCGGTCTGTCGATGACGATTGGGACCCTCGTCCTCCTCCTCGTCTTTCCCCTTCCCCGGGGGCAAGGACAAGAACAGGAATGGCGGCGGCCGTGGCAAAGGCTTCTCCGCCCCGGCGCCCCTGCGCGCTGGCATGTCTGACGATATCTTCCTGGGTGCCCACGAGGAGTTCGGGTCCGTCATGGTGGCGCCCGAGTTGCTCGATTACGCGGCGAAGGAGGTGGAGCGGGACGAGCGGGACGCGGTCCCCCAGTGGCTGTGCGAGAGCGATTGCCCCTCGTCACAGCCGGGAGGGGGGCCGCCTTGGGAAGCCTCCAGGGCTCCTGGCACGCCTGAATTCGGACCTCGTAGTAATCGTCAGCGGGATTTACTACCACTGCCCATCGTGACGGGGAACAACGGTGGAATGAGCGGTCAGGGTTTAAGCCGCCTTTCGCGCAATTGTCAGAGGCGCTGTCATCGTCGAGCTCAGATTACCCAGTGGTCTCATGACAATGTGACTGCTTTGAAAAAGATGGCGCCGTGGCCGAGTGGGTCTTCTTCCCGCTCTTTTCCATCGTCGCCCACAAGGTCAGCAGCAGACCCCGAGTTATATTTCACACTGCGCCGAGGCGGCTGGCGATCCGCCCGCTGGCGTGAACGGCCCGGGAGCCCTTCGGGAGCTCTGGGCCCGCCGCGGCTACGATGGTGAGTCCAGCGCCGTGGCCCCCGTCGGCGTTGGCCAGCTCGCCATGCCGGAGAAAGGACGCCGACCCGCGCGTGCATCTTCCCTCTGCGGGGCTGCTGGCGTTTGAGCTCGCGAAGGGGATCGTCAAAAGAGTTCCGCCATTGAGGGGGTTGAGCGTCGGAAGGTGGCGACGGGAGTTGAGAGACCTCTCAATGGCCCCAGACTTCGGAGTCGTCGAGGTAATTTAGGTTTGATGCTGACACTGCATGAATCTTGGTTGCTTGAGTTCAGGCGATCTCGTCGTGAACGGGTCGGGCACTTCTCAGTTGTTCAGACGGATGGGGGGCAGTGTTTAATTGTGGATGCACTCTGGTCGAACGACCATTTTGCCGTGGGAGCTGATATCAGCCTTGCTACTGGTTAGTCGTTTTATGCAGTGGAGGTAGATAAGTGGGTCCCAATATATCTTGGAGAGGTGGATCTCACTAGTGCGTTCTACGCTTTGGAGATCCCAGAGGAGCTGCGAGCGGTCTTGGGGCTTTATTCGTTGCGAGCTCGCGATCTGGGATTGACTGTGGCGGCTGAGGCATTCGCGTTGTTCCCATGGGCTGGTCCCACGCGGCGAAGCTGCGCCAGAGCGTCCACGGGCACTCGGTGGAGACGCGTCCAGGCCTGGACGATAGCAACCGCATCAAGGACGGGCGCCCCGCCCCGCGGCTGAATCCCTGGGCGCACGCGGAGTGCGTCGACAACTTCGCGAGCTACTCTCAGCATGAGGCGGCGTCGAGGATGGCAGCTGAGGAGATTGACCAGGTCTTCAAGCAGGCGAGGCTGCCCACCCACGGCGCCTCCTGCGAGGCGGGCGGGGGGCCCCTCGGTTGGGGGTTCGAGTCGACCTCGGCGGCGGTGGCAGTTGACCCCGGGCGGCTCTGGCGGACGCGCCCGGGGATCAACGCGCCGTTGCGCCGCGGACGTTGCTCGGGCAGGCAACTGGAGGGCCTCGTCGGCCACTTGACTTGTGATGCCTTGCTGCGGTGTGAGTACTTGGCCATCTTCAGTGCAGCGTACCTCTCCCCTGCTAAGTGCAGGGGGAATGACGCTGAGCTGTGGCCCGCGGTTCGGCGCGAGCTTCGATGGGCGGGCGCTCTGCTTCTTTTGCTCGGGCGCGATCCTGGCAGCCATGTTGCCCGCGCAGGCCGACGCCTCCGATGCGTCGCCACGGGGTCGAGGGGCCACGTCGCGACGATTGCCGCGAGGAGGAGACGGTCAGGACTCTCGACCAGCACAACGAGCACCGGCGATTCTCGCGGAGTTCTGAGGAGGGGCCCCATGCACGAGCCCATGCTGCGACGGCAGGTCATCGCTTCAAGGCTCAGGACAAGGGCGCTTGGTCTCCAGAGGCCGACGCGGGCGGCGCCAGCGGTTTTGCCGAAGTGCCCGTCGAGGTGCCCGACCGCCGCTGGACCGCCGCCTCGGTCGATCGGCGCGCGCAGCTTGAGCGCGCGCCTTTGCTCGAGGCGCGAGCCTTGTTGTGGAGCCTCGAGCGCCAGTTGCGCGATTCGAGCAACCGCCCGCAGAAACTGCTTTCCCTCGCTGACGCGACGCCTGCAGTCCTGATGATGAGCAAGGGGAGTTCTTCAGCTCCTAGGATGAATCGCATATTTCGTCAATGGGGAGCTTAGTGTAGCCGATGGGCCATTCAGGAGATTCGCTCCGTCGCAGCGCCCCCTCGAGCGTGGATTCGGGTCCGTCCTGGGGCCCCCCTCGCGCCCGCCTTCTCCTGGCGCGGATGCTGCGGCGGCCTCGGCCCGATCTGCCGGGCCGCGGGGTGGCGCCCGGGCTTTTGGCGAGGCCTGGCCCAGCGGCCCCGGCGAGCCTGAAGCGGGGTCGCAAGGGCGCGCTGGGCGCAGAAACGAGGGGGGCCAGGGCTCAGCAGCGAGCTCGATTCCGCAGCGAGACGGCCGCCTACGGACAGTCGTAGTCGAGCCTGACCTACCTCGAGGCTCGCTCAGTTTCGCGGTCGATGGAGGAGACGCGCGACAAGCTGATGAACGACTTCCTGAAGTGGGGCCGGGCCCTGGCGAGCTGCGGCGCCGAGGAGCAGCGCTTCCATGGGGGCCGCGGCGGCGGGCTTTAGCAAGGCGCGGGCCGCGGCGGCGTTCATGTGGGCCGACATCTCCACGGGCGGCGTCGAGTTGAAAAAGGGCCCGCCGCGCGCAGATCGGCTTCCTCATGAAAGCCCCCGAGCGGCCCCGCCTGCCCTGTCAGTGGCTGATGGCAGCAGCCATAGCGCTCTACGTATTGGAGCACGGCAAGAGCTGGGTCCTGGGTGCGCCGGTCGTGCTGGTCTTCCTGGGCCACTTCCGCCCCGTGGACCTGAAGCCGAAGCGGGGCCAGGACCTCGTCCCGCCTGTGGGCGGGCACCGAAGTGGGGTGACCTTCTGGGGCCTCCTGCCCAGCGCGGCCAAGTGCTGGGGGCCCAGCAAGACGGGGGTCTTCGACGAGGCCACGCTGCTCGACAATCCCGAGTTCGCGGACTTCGCTCCCGTCTGGGAGTGCCTCCACGAGTTGAACACCGACAGGCCCCTGGGCGTCTTGCAGGTCAAGCTGGCCCGGGGGTTCGCGGCGGCAGCGGACCGGCTCGGCTACCGCGAGATCGGGGTGCACCACTTCTACCAGCTCAGGCATGGCGGCGTCTCCCACGAGCTGGCCAGGAAAGCGGGAAGCGTGGGGGGGGGCGCAGAGGCGCGGGCGGTGGCTGTCCAAGGGAAGCTCGCATTCCTGCGAGCAGGGATGCCGAGTAGCCGAAGTGCTCCAGCGCCTGGCGCCCGAGCAGCTGGAGGCAGCCGTGAAGGCTCGCGAGTTTCTTTCCGCGACCCATTGCAGCACCTCCCGATGGCGGCAGCCACCCGCTGCCCCAGAGGGGTGGCGCTTGAATTGTTCAGTGGACCAGGTGCTTGCTCGCGTTCCTGGAGGAGAGAAGCTGCTGTCTCAAATGTTTTGATTTTTGAATGGGATGTCATTCGTGGGGGTTAATTCGACCCTTTGATCAGGAAGTGCCAGTCAGTATTTTGTGGTTGGACGATGTCAGGTTTTATCGCAGCGCTGTGGGTCGGTCTACCCTGTAACTTGTGGTCGATGGCTAGACGTGCTACCCGTTCGGGTCCAGGGCCGTCGAGGTCGACTGAGCAGATCATCGGATTACTGGAGGATTGGGGCCAATTTCCAACGCAAGGTGGACATCGGTAATATATAGATGGAGTTCGTTGTTTTTCTTATGTTGTTGTTTCGCCGTCTTTCGATGCCTGTCCCTCTTGAAAATCTGCGCAGTTCGATGGTGTGGACGACCCCGTCAGATGCCCCGCGTAGCCAACCTGTCCGAGCCTATTATCATCTACGCTGATTTCTGCATGTTCGGGAGGCCTTGAAAGAAGCGCACCCGCATATTATTAATGTCTCTTCGACATGATGATGCCGCTTGTCACTGTTCGACCAAGCATGGTATTTGCGATCGCGCGGCCACATGTCATGAGATCTTCGAAGGTTGCGGGGATGGGAAGCTCCTCGATAAGACTGCTGAGCCTTTTTCGATGGAGTTGTGTCGTAGGTTGGTGGGCTCCTTCGTCTCCGGTCTTGTCGCTCACAGGGTGGCTGCGCTAGAAAGATTCGGCCTGGGCCAGTCGAGTTGCTTGCTGCAGCGATTTGGGTAAAGGCCGTGGCATTTCGATTTCTTAGTGGTATCGCTGCCGGCCGTCTGCCTTCGGAGTGGCGCTGCTCTGCCACGATCATTGGAAACGACGGCTGGCCGGCATGAGGAGGAGAGGGGGTTGTAGATGGACGTGCTCTCACAGGAATTGATGTTTTAGTGCCAAAGCGGCGCAGATCATCACAGGTAGTTGCAAGTTCTCAGTGGGTAACGCGTAATCACAGGTGGTTGCAAGTTCCCGTAGAATGTGACTGTGTTTCCAGGCGTTTTGCTCTTCAACAGCTGTCCGTAGCAATCGCTCCCGCCGCGCCCGCCCCTTATAGTCTTGCTCATGTTCCAGCTGGGTGAGAGCCGTGGCACTTCGCTGTCTTAGTGGTCTCGCTGCCGGCCTCCTGCCTTCGGAGTGGCGTTGTTCTGCCACGACCTCTAGAAACGACGGCTGGCCGGCATGAGGAAGAGAGGGGATTGTGTATATATACACATACATACATCTATATGTATATACATATATATACACATGTGCATCGATGTATATATACATATATATGTACATGTATTGCTCGTTTTCCTTCCCTCCCCCTCCTTCACTCCCTCGTTGCTGTTTCTACTGCCCCTCCTGGGGCGGGGCCAGCACTTGGCCCAGGACGACCGCGTGGTGGGCGCGTGCATGTTCAGCCTCCCGCTGCTGGAGGCGGCGCCGCAGAACCTGGTGCTGACCGTCCCGGTGCAGTGCTGGAGGCGGCGGTCCTGGTTCTCGTGCGGCGCGGCAAGCCCTGCCGTCGACTTCCAGGCCGCGTCGTTTCTGTGTGTCTCTCTCTCTCTCTCTCACTCTCCCTCTCATGTTCGTTCTCTCTCTCTCTCTTTCTCTCTTTCTTTTCCTTTCCTTTCTCTCTGTCTCTCTCTCTCTCTCTCTCTCTTTCTCTCTCGTTATGTATATATATATGTATGTATATATATATATCGATATATCGATACATCGACGAAAGTAGATACAATATTGCAGTCTGGCGTTTCGCGCCATGCGCCTTGGTCCTTGAAGCTTGACGTGCAGACAGAAGGGCAGGAAGGTGAATCACACGCAGACATGTAACTCATTGCTGCCTTGTTCGACGACGTTCCCTCATGTTGTTGCTTGTTATTCGCATCATTATTCGTATTGCTAGTATTATTATAATTACTCTTCTTATGATTCGTATTATCACTGTTCTTCCTAGTATTATTTCTCATTGATTTTCTGTTCTTCCTCGTCCCCATTCTCGCCCTGCCCTGCGAATTCCTCCCCATCCTCAGCGTTTTTTGCGGAGGCTCCTCCTTGGGGAGCGTTTTGGGGTCCTCACGAGAGTGTTTACGAGCTTCTTAAAGCCGTCTGGGGGCCTCCTGGGCGCCGTCTGGAGGGCCTCTGGGGGCCTCCTCGGGCCACTCTGCTTCCTATTGCGGTCTTCCTGATCGACTGGGCCACTATTAGGAATGCCTCGGGGGGCGTCTTGGGGCCGTGTGAGGCCGTCATTGGGCCCTCTTCGGGCCATATTGGGTCTTTGTTGGGCCGTTTTGGGGCTCCCTCGGACTGCCTGGAAGGACTTTCGGGTAGTTTCGGAACGATTGTCTGGCCTCCTGGGCGGCCTCGGGCGCCTGGAAGACCGAAGAATAGAGCATTCCCGAAATCATACAGGCATCCATTGGAAATCATTGTTTATTTGCGTTTCGAATGCCTCTTTAGGGGTCTTGCGTCGTCTTCGGGCCTTCGGTGCGTGTCTTGAGCTTCTTGGCCCCCTCGTGGGTCCTCTCGGCCGCCCACCTGAACGACTTGGGCCCGTTGCCTGGGCCCAGCAAGGGCTTCCAGGAGCTCCGACATGGGCGTTCGGGGGCCTCCTGGGGAAGCGGATCCAGGGGGTCCGTTTTGGGTGGGGCGACGGTCCCCCCCGGCTTGTACAATACAGGAAGAGGAATGGAAGCATTTATGGATTGAATCGTTTCGCTCCTTCCGCCGGCCCATAATTGCGTACCGTTGTCGACTGACCGAGTGGTCTTTCGCGGTACGGAGCTGCAGGGGCGGCGACTGCTTTTTTTATCAGGCTTTGCTTTCGGCATGTGAGGCTTCTGGGTGGCCGCTTGGGGAGCCTCGAACGCGTCGCGGGCCGTCTGGAAGCGTTTTGCCTATGGGGACTCTTTCGGGAGGCCTCTGGTGGCCTCGTGGGGACTCTTAAACGCGTCGGGTCGTTGGCACTTGCTTGCGTGCTCGGGGGGGCATTTGGGGAGCCTCCTGGGGCCGCTTGGGGGCGTCGTGGAGGCCTCTTGGGGCCTCTTGGGGACCTCTTGAGGATTCCAGAGGCTGCTTAGGGCCGAGAGGTCGAAATGTTTCGTGTTCCCCCCCTTGGACCTCTCTTGGGGCGTTCTTGGGGCCGTTATGGAGGCCTCTTGGGCCGTCTTGGAGCCCTCTTTGTCCGTCTTGGGGCCCTCTTGCGGGGCCTCTTGTGCCCTCTTGGGGCGGTCTTGGGGGCCTCTTGGGCCGTCTTGGGGTGTGGGGAAGCCGAACAGGTGGGAACGCCAAAATCTATTCAAAAAAAAAGCAATGATGTTTGCCTCTTGTGGCCGCTTAGGGGCCTGTTGGGGGCCTCCTGAGGACTTGTTGGGGGCGTCTTGGGGTTCTTAGGGGCCTCTCGGGAACTCCTGGGGCCTTCTTAGGGCCGAGAGCTCGACATGTTGATTCGTGTTCCCCCCCCCCGGGACCTCTCTCGGGGCGTTCTTGGGGCCTTCTTGAGCAGTCTTGGAGGCTGCTTGGGCTGTTTCGGAGTCCTCTTGGGCCGTCTTGGAGCCCTCTTGGGGGCCTCTTGGGGCGGTCTCGGGGGCCTCTTGTGCCGTCTTGGGGTGTGGGGAAGCTGAAAAGGTGGAAACGCCAAAATCTCGCTAAAACCTATGGAAACGCAATGAAGTTTGCCTCTTGGGGCGGGCCGCTTGGGGGTCTGTTGGGGGCGTCTTGGGGTCTCTTGTGGGCCTCTTGGGGACTCCTTGGGCTTTCTCAGGGCCGAGAGCTCGAAATGGTGATTCGTGTTTGCCCCCTGGGACCTCTCTTGGGGCGTTCTTGGGGCCTTCTTGAGCCGTCTTGGAGGCTGCTTGGGCCGTCTTGGAGCATTCTTGGGAGCCCTCTTTGTCCGTCTTGGGGCCCTCTGAGGGGCCTCTTAGGCCCTCTTGGGGAGGTTTTGGGGGCCTCTTGGGCCGTCTTGGGGTGTCGGGAAGCCGAAAAGGTGGAAACGCCAAAATCTCTCCAACCTATGAAAAAGCAACGAATTTTGCCTCTTGGGGCCCTCTTGAGAGTGCTCTGGGAGGCGTGTTGGGCCGTCTGGGGGGCATCGCGTCTTGGAGCGAGCTTGTGGCATCTTGGAGCTCTCTTGTATCATCTTGAGGGGCTCTTGGCGGCCGCTTGGCTTTTCTTAGGGCTCTCTGGACGGCCTCGAGGGCGGCGCCCAGGAGGAAAACCACCTCCGACCCGCAGCGCCCGGGCTTCGCCCGGGGTACTTTTCTTCAGGGGACCCCCAGGTGCCGCCCCGCATGCGCTAAGTAGAATCACTGTAAAGCAGTTGCCGGAGATCTCAGCACCCCTCTGGCCCGTTGGGCCGGCGAATTTATTCATACCTCGATACATATATATATATATATATATATATATATATATATATATATATATGCATGTATACACGTGTGTGTGTGAGAGAGCGAGAATATCTATTGATCATCTGCGGGGGTACCAGGTACCAGGGGCCCAGGCCCTGGGCCGGCATACCCTCCATGATTCTCCCCCCCTTAGCACCGGAAATCTGGACCCCCTTCCTGGGCTTCCCGGGCCTCCCTCCGGTCGCTCAAATCGTTCCGGGGAGCACAAGTGAGCGACCAGAGCGGCCCACCGGGGCCGCAAGACGCCTCAAGATGGCTTCAAGACTGCCGAAGAGCCCCCAATACTCTCCGAGAAAGCTCTAAGATCCTCCCCAAGAGGGCCCCGGATGGCCAAAATTGCGCCATGTTTTCAGGAAAAACATATATTTGTTGTTTAGGTTGAAACAACGTCCAATACGGCCCAAGAGGCCCCCAATATCGCCCCAAGACGGCCGAAGATGCCCCCAAAAGAGCCCCAGGGCCGTCCAAAAGGCAACCAAAACGGTTTGAGATAGTCCAAAGAGGCGCGCACGAGTGGGAATTGCAACTCACATTTCGAGCCCTCCCCCTCAAGTTGACCCCCAGACCGCCAGCAGTCCCCCAAGAGGCCCAAAAGAGGCCCCCCAAATACCCCAAACAGCCCCCCCAGAGGCTTCAAAACTGGCTCCAAGAGCTGCCCGAGAAGCATGCCAAGAGGCCCCAATAGGTAATTACGTATCCAAGAAGCGCGTGACCCACAGCCCAGGCACGGTGGCGGTATGAGCTCAAGGCCAGTAGATGAGCAAACGAAGAGCCAGGCGACGGACGCTGACGCCGCGGGTGGAGCTCCCATGTGAGGCATGTACCGAAATGCGCGGGGGGACGCCATGCGAAGTTGCCCATTGGTGCCATAGGTGGAGCTCTTTCCGGTACGCGATTCGCGTGAGGGGCGTCCCGAAATTAGCGGGAGCATGTTGTGCGAATTTTGTCGGAGCTGTAGTTGGTGCTACGGGGCGACCTTCGTGTCTATTGGGGGCTTACGGTTGCCTACGGTTTTTTTTGATGACAGGTTTGAGCGGCCTACGGGTGGCCCCCCACCTGACATATGTCAGAGTGAGGGGGCCGAACTGTCATTCATTGTCCCTGGAGCCCGTTTCTTTATTGCTTGGGGCATGACGGGCGTCATGGCCCCCGCTTCCCCCCCCCTTTGACGTAACGCTCCCCCCCCCCCCAGTGCGCTCTGGGCCAGTCGCCGTGTGTTTGGGGATCCGCGTAGGTGTCCGCGTAGGAATCCGCATAGGAGTCTGGCCCGCAGTCGTCGTCGTCGCCGTCGTCGTCGTCGTCGTCGCTTGTCGCTCGTCGCTCATAGTCGTCGTGCGCGCGGACGCGGCTGAAGCCTGTTTTTTATTCCGGGCCGATGACGGCAATCATCTAGGGGGGGGGGTCGATGTCGTCACGTTTCGCGCCAGCGGCGTCTGGGAATGCTCAGGAATGACGGAGGATGGGTAGCGCCAGCATGTAGGTGGCGATTTGCACCACAACGCCTGTGCACACCACAGTGCCTGCCCTGCGTGCACCACACCGCCTGTGTACACCACACCCACCACACCGCCTATGTACACCACAGCAGCCGCGTGCAACACAGCGTCAGTTTGTGCCACCGTGCTTGTGGGCACAACAGCTTCTGTGCACACCACAGCGCTTGCGTACACCACATCAGCCGTGTACAACACAGCGCCAGTGTACACCGCAATGCCTGCGTGCATAACAGTGCCTGTGTACTCCACGGGGCCCGTGTGCACCACAGCAACCGTGCGCAACACAGCACCACTGTTGTATATATATATATTGTTATAACGAATCTTTATGACAAAATGGAGCGCGTGAGGATTCCACAGAAAACAATACAACACAATCCTTATGGACGACGGAGCGCCGCTGGAATCTACGAGTCCTCCCGAGTCCGCTCGCATCACCCTAACTCCTCCCATTTGCGCCCAGGAGGCTCCAGCGCCATTGGCCGTCCGAGAACAAAGTGGACCGATTCAATAGACCATTATGCGGTGCGCGCTGAGATGCGGACGTGCGCTGCAGCGCCAACCCGCACGACGGGGGGCAAGGAAGAAAAGGAGGAGGAAGAGGAAGAGGAGGTGGTGGAGGTGG